CTCAGGCCCTTGTGCTTGCCAGGCAAGCGCTTATTCTACCGAGCCATCTCTCTAGCCCCTATAATTTTTAAATTTTAAGTAATACATTAATCATTATGTAACAGTCATTGTTGCAGTCTATACTCAAACCTGGGTTTTCCTGGACCCTAATTGGGTTACAATAATTCCTTTTTATTCACCAAAATACAGCTGGACTGGAAATGGGGAGACAGAATAGTTCCCTCTTCTCAGAACAAGGCTGGTAAAATAAGCACATACCTTTTTCAATCCAATGCTCAAATCCAACAGGCTCTTTTGATGTGCTCTTTTCGACCCTCAAAGTCCGTACTGCCATGGTAAACAGACAATACATTAATCGCCTACCTGGCGCTATGCTGTGGGCCTTGCTATGTATCTTTCTCCTTCTGAATGAGTCTATAGAATAAGTGTTTCCCTGGCAAGCGCAATGGCCTGAGTTCAATCCCTGGTTCTGGGGGAAAAAAAAAAAAGTCTGCGGCCATACCACCCTGAATGTGCCTGATCTCATCTAAATGAGTCTGCCCTGCATTGGTGGTAACTACATAGAATACTGGGATCAGGAATACCATGTTCTGGACATTACCTACTCTGTGATAAACTGCATGGAAATTATTACACAGAGTTTAAAAGGTTTCGAATTTGTAGGTTTCAGAGAGGCTAATTGTGCTGAAGGCAGTGAGTCTGGAATCTTCACCCTCCCATTCTAGCAATAAAATCAGATTTCATGCTGTAAAGAAAAACTAGTACTGTTTTTCCAAATGTTTACATCTGCATCCTCTGCCAATGAAAAAATTAAACTAAGATAAAAATTAATGCATCACCTGCTTACCTAAGTAACTCTGGATTATGAGCTTTTCGATTTTTACATGTTTGTGAAAAGAAATAATAAACTCCTGGGGAAACATTCCTGTGGTGGTCCAAAACGTTTCTGCATTCCTATTGTTAAGTTTAAAGAAAAGGGAAAAGAAAATAGCCAAATATAAAAATTTAATCACAAAATTCTAATGAATAAGTATTTTAAAAAGTGACTACCATATGCTTATAATTCCTTTTTGTTAACTCTGTCTCTAATCTTTCCCCAACTTTAATAATTCTTTGCTACTACCACATATTCTCCTCTGAAAAACAGGAACAGGATCTGTGTTACTCCAGTCAATAAACCATCAACCAGAACAAGAAAGAAAAGTTATACAATAGTGGCAGTAGATGTAGAGAAAGCATTTGACAAAATTCATTGTCCATTCATGATATTAGCTCTTGGCACACTAAGACAAAGAATATCTGATAAAGATTTTGAACTAGGAGCTCGGTGCTGAGATAGCAAATGCTTTCCCCCAAGGCTGGAAATGAGCAGGGGTGTTTGTTCTCGCTGTTTCTTTTCATTCTTATCCTGGAGCTCTTAGCAAATACAAAGAGAAAAGGCGTAAAAGGCAGAAGGGTGGGAATGAGAGCTGGCTCACACATTATGATTGTATTTATAGAAAACTCCAAAGGATCTGCTATAATAAATAAATAAATGAGCTAGTAAGTGAGTTTAGAAAGATCAATGTCAATTTTATTACTATATATTGGTAGGACACACTTGGCAAATGAAACAAAATTTTTTTTTTCAAAATGGAGGTCTCAGGCCGGGGAGATGGCTCAGTTGGAGTGAGTGCTTCCCTGGCAGGCGCAAGGGTCTGAGTTCAATTCCCGGTTCCGCAAAAAAAAAAAAAAAAAAAAAATGGGGGTCTCAATACATAGCTCAGGTTAGCCTTGAACTCCCTGTGTAGCCCAGGCTGGCTTTGAACTTTTGGTGATCTTTGCTTCACTCTTGCAGGTGTACTCCACCAGCCCCAGCATCTATTCATCTTCTGAAGGGATATATAGGTTGCTTCCAAGAGTTAACTGTTATAAGCTGTGCTGCTACAAATAGATATGCATGTATCACTATAATACCATGTTTTTAACTCTTCAGGAAGATGCCTAAAAGGGGAACTGTTAGGTCAAATGGAATTTCTAGTTTTAGTTTTGTTTTTTTTTGTGGTACCAGGGATTGAACTCAGGACCTTCTTATTCTACTGAGCCATGTCCCCGGCCCTCTAATTTTAGTTTTTTGAGGACACACATGACAGATTTCCATAGTGGTGGCTTTAGCTTATATTCCCACCAACACTGTAGATGTATGCCTTTTCCCTTGCAGCCTCATTGGCATTTGTTTGATTTCTTTCTCTTTTTTAAAAAATGTATTTTACTATAGGGTCTACAGGGTCTACAGGTTCTCACTACACAGATCAGACTCGAAGTGATCCTCCTGTTTCCAGCCTCCCAAGTGCTGGGATTACAGGTGTGTGCCACCACATCCAGTCTATTATTTGATTTCTTAATGGTAGCTATTCTTTCTGTAGTAAGATGTAATCTCAGTATTGTTTTAATTTGTATTTCTGTAATGGCTTGCAATGTTAAACATTTCTCCATGTATCATTGGCCATTTCTACCTGTTCTTCTGTAAAGCATCTATTTAGTTCACTTGCCCCCTTTGTTTTTTTGTATTTTATTTTTTTTTTGGCGGAACTGGGGATTGAACTCAGGTCCTTGCACTTACCAGGGAAGCGTTTATTCCACTGAGCCATCTCCCCGGCCCCCTTTTTTTTTTGTATTTTAGGGAAGGGTCTACAGGGTGTTCAGGGTCTTACTACATGGTGATCTGCCTGTTTACAGCCTCCCAAGAATGGGATTACAGGTACCCGTGCCACCACACCCAGTCTCAATTACTGTCTCAGCACAACCCGGGGGCGGGGCTGGTACAGCAAGCAAGGGATTGAATCCCTGGCCCCTGCACCTGCTTGCAGGTGCTTTAATCCACTGAGCTATTTAGCCAGCCCCACTTGCCCATTTTTAAAAAATCTTTATTTATTTATTTGGTACAGGGTCTCACTACACAGCTCAGACTTGTAGTGATCCTCCTGTCTCAGCCTCCCCAGCACTGGGATGACAGGCTGAGTTTAATCCCCGGTTCCGCAAAAAAAAAAAAAAAAAAAAGCCTAAAATATTATCTGCTAATCCTGTCAATCTATAAAGCTATTTCTCCTCAAGAGAAAGGTCACTAAAAGTATCCAAAGCAAATTGATCTTGCCATAGAAAAATGATATTGCTCCAGTCAGAGAAAAAATGAGCTTCTGGAAAGATCATCATTCCTAACAAACAACTTAAAGCAAATCTCCATAGTTCTGTGTATCTTCACAGAAACTTTCACAATCATCTTTCTCTGTCCCAATGACATGACTTCAGGAAATCAAAAAACTAAGAATAACTAAGAGACACTGGCAAAGCCAAATATTCACTTTTTTAATTCAAGTTTTAGGGGCCGGGGAGATGGCTCAGTAGAATAAGCACTTTCCTGGTAAGCGCAAGGGCCTGAGTTCAATCCCTGGTTCTGCAAAAAAAAAAAAAAAATTCAAGTTTTAAGTTTGAGTTCTCATAGTATAAGACAAAGATTCCTCAACTAGTAGCCAGAAGTCAAGAGTTTTACTTAAGTCTGCCATTTGCTAACCTGTGATTTTGAGCAAGTCATTTTACCTTTGATTATTCTTTTCCTCATCTTTACAGCACAGTTAAATATACTTTGTTGTGGGGCACGGGGAAAGCTCAGTGGCATAAGCACCTGTCTGAGAAGCACAAGGTCTTAAGTTCAATCCCTGGTACCGTGCACACACAAAAAACACTGTGCTTAACTAATATTTTATGTTTTAATTTAACGAAGTATTCAACAAATAGTTGAGACTCTGGGGAGTCAAAGATAAACAAAACCTAGACTCAGATTCAAAATACTAAAACTAGGGGCTGGGGAGATGGCTCAGTAAAATAAGCACTTCCCTGGCAAGCACAAGCGCAAGGGCTCGAGTTCAATCCCTGGTTCTGAAAACAAAAAACAAAAAACAAAAAACCTAAACTAAAAATAAACAGTCACAACAAAGGAATAAGATAGTAAAGGTACATATTGAAGACTATCAGAGCCCAGCAAAGAGATAAATTAACCCTAACTCAGAGAAAAGGGCAGACATCAGATAGGAAATAGCAACAAGCCTTGGAGGACAAGGTTAAGTGATGGAATTTGTCCAGGCACCACGGCTTTACAACAGATCATAAAGAATCACAAAATCTCTTATCTTACAACTAGTTCTGCCTTCAATAATTAAAACTTGTATTCAGCACATTTAGAGCTCTCTCACCACAAGTCTAAAACACAGGACTTTGTCTGTGGCTATAGCTCAGTAGTAAAGTACTTGTCTAGTGCGTGCCAGGCCTGAGGTTCAATTCCTAGTTCAACGACAGAAGGAAAGAAAGAGGAAGCATTTGCATAAGATGAATGTATATGTTCTCCAATTCTAATGCTGTATGAATCTATGAATCAAAATCTGGTCACTGTATATGTACCAAAAAGAGTTTATGAAAATACACCAAGATGACTAAAAAAAGATTCTTCCCATTAACCACTTTCTCTTTGAATTGAAAGTCTGAGACTATTTCTCTGTAGTATGAACTCTCACCCTGAGAAGAGTAGAAATTGGAATAATATCAAGACACTGAGAAGCAAATAATGCAGGTTAGCAGAAAGTGAAACACTTTAGTTACCAAAGATGTTGCCTAGACCAGTAAGGAAATAAGCAGTAGAGAGGAAGTTACGGCCTCTCCAAGCCCAGGCCCACCGCCTGAGAGAGGCCTTTCTCCGCGTACTCTGGAACTCCCCCACCCATCCAGACACAGCACAGCCTGCCCTGTGAGTGAGAACTTCCACTGCGCCTTGGGTCCACTCCATATCCGACCAACCCCAGGCCCTTTTGCACCTGCCACTCCAAGTCCAGGCCTGCCAAGTGAGAAAGGCCTTTCCCCGCGTTCTCTGGACCTCCCTGGCCCGTCCAGAGCCAGCACAGCCCATCCTGTGAGTAAGAACTTCCACCGCGCTCTTGGGAGTCCTGCAAATCCACCAAAGCACAGCCCCAGTGAGTGTGTGTGAGAGCTTCTGCGCTCTCTTGTCCCCCCTCCTCATACTCCTCCAGACCCAACCCAGACCTGGCATACAGGCTTGCGGTGAAACCCTGCAGCTAAAGTCCCTGCAGTGAGACTAGGGTCAAAACCACACAGCTAATCCAGGAACAGAACATCTTACTAGAGGGGTACAGCAGGCCCACCTCCAAGGGCAACAACAATAAGGACCTGAGCACAGTAGCCAGACCCAAGCCAGGCACAACTGCATGAACAAGAACTTGGTATATCAGTACCTGAATTTCATTACGTGATAAGGATATAACTGCACCAAAGCTCTACA